CGGCGGCGTTATCGGCTCGTCGTCACCGGCGCGAGATCATCCTTCAGCAGCACCGTCACCCAGACGTCGCCGATTCCGTCGAAAGCGTCGAGAACGTCGAGGGAACGAGACCACCGAGGATCGACGCGATCACGGTCCTTGCCGCGACAGACACGGGATCGGGAACGGGAAGGATCGAGAGGCAGCAGCAGACCACGCACGGGGCGGAAATCGGCCTCGAGCTTTTCTGGCAGCGATGCGGTACCTCCTGCAACCGGACGACGAGCAGCAGCAGCAGCACGCACGCGATCGCAGCCAGCCAGAGTTGCGCGAGTCCAGTTCCGGGAATCGTCGGGATCGTCCTCGGCACCGGCTGCGGCCGCGGCTTCTTCGACATCGTCACCGGCACCGGCGGAAGAGCTGCGCGCCGCCGAGAACCAGCGGCAAGAGGATCGTCGGCGAGTCGGTCAGCAAGATCGGGGACGATCCACGGGACGAAACAAATCGGGGGACGCTAACGTTCCCCAGCTCGTGCCCATGCTGCTCGATCCACCCGGTTTCACGGGACCACCACCACCCACGTCGAGTGATCGGCGCTATAGAGGACACGCGGATCTCTCCTCATCGACGAGTCCGTCCCCGACGACGGACGAACCTTCGCCGGCTGCTCGTCGCTCCGACGATACCGAAGGGAGACCCTCGTCCAGCGATCGTTGCCGCGACGGCGGCGGCAGCGTCGCCGTCGTCGCTGAGACCGGAAACGCCACTGCCTTTAACGTTTCTTTCGATTCTGTTTCTCTCAGCGTGGCGAGAAACGTCGCGAGAAACGTCGTGCCGGGGAGCGACGAACGGCGACGATCGAGGTCACGGTCCTCTCGCCGCGGACCCAAGAACACGAAGAAGAAGAAGAAGAGGAGAAGGAATTCGTCGACGAGACGGGACGAAGATCGAGCGGGATCCGTGCACGAGGAATCCACCGAGTCTCCCGGACGTGTTCCCGTCGAGAGCGTTCCTTCCGTCGACGCGTTCGCTTACACTGCCTACAACAACAACCACAACAACAACAACAACAAGAACAACAACAGCATCAGAAGTGACAACAGCGACAACATCAACAACGCCACGAGAGAAGCCAGAAGCGACGTCCGCGAGCCGCGTCGCGAGATCGAACGCGTCGTTTCCGACGGGGACGCGTCGGACTTTCGTCAGGACGTCGCGCGTCGGGTGGACGGTGCACGCGGTGAGGTGTTGCGGCAAGATCGCGAGAACGAACGTTGTTACCCGGCTGGGAGGAGTGTTCGAGCCCGTTTCCGCTGCGGGCGACCAGAGAATTGCGAGAGCGTCTACACTGCCCGGTTCCAGGAGCCGATTACCAATGAAAAGCGTCCGCCCAAGGACGATGAGCTCGCGACCAGCGGGGTGCCCGTCAAGCTGTTCGGCAACCGTGGCCGCAGTTACGGTCTGCTGTTCGTCTTGTACCTGCTTGCCTGGCCGCTCGCCTGTTCGACCAATCCCTCCGGCCAGTTTGCCTCGAGATTCGCCCAGAATCCATCCCTCGGCGCCGCCGACGAGCAACCCCGGCACAACGTCACGCAGATTTCGTCCCTGTTGTCGTCGGGCGTGCCCTACCAGCCGCGACAGCAGTCACCGCAGCAACAGCGTCTCGACAGAGAACGATACGTCCAGGACAGCACGGTGTCGTTGCACGAGAACGAGAACGAGAAGAAGAAGAGGAGCGAGCATCGTCGTCATGGGCGACGGGATGCTCAGCAACAACAACAACAACAACAACAACAACAACAACAACAACAACAGCAACAACAACAGCAGCAGCAGAGTCGAGCGAATGAACAACGAGAGACGAGTAGCGAAACGGATCATTCGTATCAGAGTCATCAACCGGATCAGCCCGAGACGATGCATCCTTACAACGAATACAGCTGGGAGGTGAACCAAATAAACCCTTGGTTATCGGCCTGCGACCTGGCGGGTCCAGCGCCGGCCGATCTTCAGGGTAGCTGCGGTCCACCGGAGGTGCCGAAGAACTGCCCGGCCCCGTGCCCTCGACCCCCGGCGACCAGCAGGAGCAACGGGGGCGACACCGAGTTCCACGAGGTGATCGGGAAGGTCGAGGTCGCCGGCAGGGTGGGCGGCGACGCGGCGAACGGGGACGAACGGACGACGGGACACGAGGAGGTGGGCGTACGGACCGCTCCGGAACAGTGCCTTTTTTATCTCGAGGAGTCGCATAAGAGGGACGTCTGTCGGGATGATTTTGGCCGGAGCAGTACGCGAAGTTTTTTAACCCCGAGGGAGAATCGATATTGGTTCATGAGCGGTTTGCGTCTGCGGCACTGCTGCGAGCACGCGGTGGTCAACGCCCTGGCACCCGGCAAGGGCGGCCCGCTCGAAAACGTGGTAAACGGTGGCCAGAAGTGCGCCGATGCCCTGGACAAGCTGTTGCTCGTCGACGCGTTAGCCGCGAGGCTGCATTGTGAATTCGAGGAAGTGCTGGCGCGTTACGACTGCGCCCAGCCCTATTCGGTCATCTTCAACTGCACCCATTGCAAGGTAAGGGGGCCCAGCGAATAGCTTCCCTGTAGATGTGTCTTGGTATTGGAATGATTCTGGACTGTAGATTTTCATGCGCTCGTAGAGCTGCTTCAGGTTTTCGTTCGTTCAGACGGGTGGCAGGTTAGTATTCGAAGATCGGTGAATGTTGAGTAATTTTTGCACTGAAGAAGTTATGTATCTACATTCGCAGACAAATCCGCAGTTTTGGTTAATTGTACGTGAACGTCGTTACCGCGGTGGACGATGTTTCTATAAAATCTGTTGCTGAAAAAATCTAGTATTCCGACGTCGTAATTCACGGTACATCGGTGCATTAAATAACCGTAGATACATCGTTCCCGATAAGAATCGGGACTGATGAAACGCCGTAATCTCTCCGCGACAAAACATCCACGCCGAAATTCCTGGCACGAATCTATCAATAAAATCTCCATTCAATATTCCGATGTCTCCATTCACAACTAAAAACACTAAAAGCGCCGTGCGCTGTCCGTAAAACTCCCGGGCCGCAGCTGACATAAATCAACAAAAAAATTTTACTATCGGCGAATCGTGATGTTTTTATAGAACGCTCGTCCACTACGTACCGGTAATATAGCAATTTACGATATAATTTATTTCACTGTTACGGTCCACTCCGGCGACCTCCGGCGCGCATGAATAAATTCGCGTTAAAAGCCGTAAAGCGGTCTTCAAGGGGTTACCACCCCCCCGGTTCCAGTTGAAGTATTCGCCGATTTTACCTAGAGTGAATCTTATCCGACGCAGCTGAGAAGCTGTGGGTGCCCGATACGAGACGTCGATTCGTCGCAATTTCCTCTTCCACTTGTCCAACTCGCCGGCACTCTTCCGTCGGCGATGCCGTCGTTATTATCGAGTTTGAATAGTCTCGCCGTCTCGTAACTCCCGTTCCGCGGCGATACGCTTACACCTAGGAATGAATGTCCCGAGTTGATTCTCCCCCCGTCCTCCGAGCGATTCTCCCATAGGGACCCGCCGGCTGATCGCGGGCGTCGATTCCTCGATCGTTAACCGTGTAAACGAGCCATTGTTTCCACCGGCGGATGAACTCGTTCGAAAGAATTCGCGACAAATTACAGGCCGGAGAGAAACGAAGCAGTTGGCTGGCGGGTTCGAATCGGAATCAAAGCTTTTGTTTCGCCGCGAGAGATCCACCGGCGAGTGCCGGAGCTTGCCAAGCGGCGGCGACGACTTAGCGATGCGCCCCGGGCGCGACGACCCCTTCAGCAATCAACGCTAATAAGCGTTTCGGACGGCGGATCCTGCAATTAGGAACGGATTCAATGCGACTTCTTTCGCCACCCCTGTTGCCAGCCCCGCGCGTCGCGCTTTCGTTCCCGAGGCGATTGCTCGAGGAGGCTTGCCAAGAAACTCCTTTGTCCCGCGCCGCGGAGTGTTTCGACCTTGCGGAAATTCCTCGCACGTACGATCCCGCCTCGTCTGGCCCCCCTCCGCTCGCGAATTCTGCGCCCCCGGCGACATCACGAACGAAACCGGGACGAGATTCGATGATCACGAATCGGGAGCACGCGTCGCTGATTAATCGCTTGGGCTCCTTGGGTTTGCTGTTCCAATTCGTAACGAGCGAGGGATGGCGCGCGGATCGCCGCGCGGATGTTTTTATTGATAATCGGCTGGTGGAATATTGTTTCGCTTTCCGTGCACAGGTGGTTCCGGGGAAATACGTACAATTTGATTGAATAAATAGAACATTCGTTTAGATTTATTCAAGTTTCCTGATGTTGATTAAAGGGAACATTAAGAGAATCCTTCAGACAATCTCCACTGTATAAATTAATTACACGTTTGATACTATCATTCTTACTACCACGGACGATTGAAATTTGCGCAAATATTCCTCTCGAACACTGCCTATAATATCGAATTTTCGCAATGTATGTTTCTTAAACGTTCCTCAATCCGTCGTTCGATTGCAAGCAAATTCAAGCGGAGGGATTAAACGACTGATCGCGAATTTCCACAACGAATTGGCGTTAAGCCGAACGTCTAAGCGACGTTGCCGTTGCGACTCGTAACGGGGACGAGGATAGCCGTCCGTTGATACCTTGCGGGCGATACTTTCTATCGGTTATCGAACCGGCGTAATAGAGGGAGAAAACCCTGTCTCGTTACCCGGCAATTTATCGGGCAATCTCGGTCGCGTCGGCGGAACTTGCGAGACGGGGGAGGGTTGGGCGGGCGGCGAAAAAAATGAATTGTTAATTGCCCGCCGGGCAATTGTTCGTACGTAGGCGGGGCGGATGCTGGTGGATGGTTTATGATGGAGTTGCTCGTAACGCTTGTACCCGGAAGATACTCGATTCGGGCGGCAAGTGGCCGCGGCGCGAGCTCGCGCGGATCATTTTCAGATTGCCGTATTATCGGCGCTTGAGGTTCGAGCGTGAAGTGTTTTCGAGCGGATCGCGTGGACAGAAATTTCGCGGAAGAAGAGCCGCTAGACTGATGCCAACTCGAGCGGGATATCGATTAAAACGATTAGCACGTCGGCCAACCCCGTTCGTTCCATTTGCGGTTCGAGAGGGTTAATGCGGAATTCAGATCGCGGTGTTTTATACGCGAGCCTCGGCTCCTTACACGGTTTCGTCTTTGATTCTCGATTTTCCGGTGACTTAACGGCAATGTTACTGTTGTCACTATCGGTGGTGATAATTGTCTTTCAAATATTTATGTTCTCCCGCATTCGCAGTAGAAACGCTTAGAGGTAAAATTCGTGGGGAATAATTAGTAGAATTATTCATTGATGAAAAGAGGAAGTTGGCTAATTAAGTTGTGGAAGTAGGACTTGGTCGATTTTAGTATTAATGTTATTCTGAATATTTTGACTTTTAACTTTGAATTTAAACGTCTATTCTGTCCTGTAAAAGTGTTATGAAAGTAACAACCATAAGACTTGCAAACTGTCCACAAGCCTCCCTCCGCTAATTACCATTTGATATATTCAATCGAATCAAGAACCAAGTAGTATCCGCGAACCAACTTCACTTGCCAGATTTTTTTCAACATTTCACGTCGATTATTAAGAACACTGAAATAACGTCTTCATTTATCTCTATTGTACTCGGGTCCACCGGCAGCGCAACATAAACTCATCAATCCAACTGAAAACAAAGACCCGAGAAGCTACACGACAACAGAGACAACGGTATTCCTTCGCGGCGCCATTTTTCACCGTCACAAAACGCGTCGGTTTAAAACCCCTCAACCATAAACCGAGCACTCAAAGCCGCGTGTACCGCTTGGAAACCGTTCAAGAGCGGTAATTTTCGCTATTGCTCGAAGCCGGCGAGACCGAGACGGCGAATTAATTATTCCGGAAGACGGTGGAGGCGAGGCGAAAACCGCGTAGGAAACGAGGTCCCGTTCGGGGAAACGGGTTCCGCGCGCGTAGGTAACCCGCCCGTTTATCGTCGGAAGTTGTTAAAAGACACTGGGAAACGGTCATCGGTTCAACATAGGTACCGTCTGTAGCTCGCGAGTTGACGAGCGAAAGGTATCCGAGTCTGATCGGTCAACTCTCCTCTGTCCTCGTCTAAATTTTGCTACCAATTAATTATTCATCGACGCGATTACGCGTAATCAATAATTACAGACCCCTTTTATAGTAGAAAGATGACTTAATATCTAATGGAACGGTACATTGGGCCAAAAGTCTCTTTCAAGTTTATACTGCTAATTACCCTAGCTGTATGGAATATCGAATCAGTGATAGAAAATAGTACGAATAATGAAATAATGCAATAGAGAATTCTATGAGAAAAGATAAAAACTAACCGATCAGATCCGCATTCCTCAGCTTAGCCATCAAGTGATCTAGCAGCACCCTTGTGCCGTCCCGTTCGCCATCTCTCGAGCAACAGACGGTACCTCGAACTGGACATCGATTCTGCACCAGGGAACGGACGGTTTGTTTGCGCTCGGGAATGGCAAGTGCTGGCGTGTTCGGTTGCTAGCCTGGGTCCTGCGCTCAGCTTTCCTGCATCTACCCCGATCGCGTTCCAGCCGGCAAGAATACGGCCGTTGATTGTTCGGATTACAAGTTTGCCGAGCAATTCATTTACCCCGTTGAAAGTGGGAAGAAGTTGCCGGCTCGTTTAACGAAGCGTCTCTTCTCCCGTCTCTCTTTGCTTCCGTCCGCTCCGGGCCAGTGGAACTGAATCGCCGGCCAAAGGAGATGGAGCCGTTAACGAGACTTTTCGCCGGAATTCGATCAGGATTTCGGGGTTTGATCTCCGTGAAAAAAAAGCCGTGTGCCGAGCCTCTAATCGAGATCATTTCGCCGCCGCCGCCGCCGCCGCGCCGCGGCAGGCTCTCTCTCTCTTTCTCTCTCTCTCTCTCTCTCCCTCTCGTTGCTGCAGCAGCAGCAACCCGCCCCGCTTCCAGCGCCAATAATCGCCGTCGTCGTTGTACGTTGTGCCCCTGGCCAGATACCGATCGATCGATACCTTCCCCGTTGCATAATAAATCGGATAAACTCTGTTAAAAGGTTCCGTTGATGGCGCGCGCCGAATAAACGGACGCGATTTCGATTCGACTCGCCTTTCACGTTCGATTTTGTGTTTCATCGCGCGCCTTTTGTATACGATTCTGATGGTTCCATTGGAATTTTTGGAGATTGAGCGGTCGGGACAGTGTGCTCGGTTTATTGTAAACGCGACGCGTGAACTGTGCTTTATTGGGATTTGTAACCGATCTTAATGCAGCTCTGGTTAGTAAGTTGCCCCGATAGGGGTTGCGAATTTAGTTTTATGAATATCATTCGATGTACGCGTAGTTACGAATGTTCAGTTATAATTGATGCTATTAACCAACGAATGCTAAACGGACGCGGAAGTTTTCTTCCCAGATAATGATTAAAACCAAGAAGACTGTTGGGGGCAGTCGCTAAAGAAAATAACGAGGATCATTATCGTGACGTCCCGGAGGGGTTTATTGCCTCGCATTCAATGCTAACACGA